CTCACTTGGGGAGTGAATCATTGGACGGAAGATCTTCCTCTCTGTCTCTCCTCTCTCTGTATATCCGCCTTTCCAATGAAAAAATAATAAAAATAAATCTTTAAAAACAAACAAAAAAAGAAAACTTCATGACTGGATAGTTTCACTGTTGAATACTGTTCATCATTTGAAGAACCAGTTCCAATTCTTCTCAAACTAATCAAAAACAATTAAAATGGAGAAATTTCCCCAAGCTCCTTCTATGTAGCCAACATCACCTAAATTCCAGGAAAAAGTACAGTGAAGAGAACATCACTGATAAACATGCATAAAAAATCCTCAGCGAAGTATTAGCTAGTTGAATTCAACAACACATCAGGAAAATCCTTCTCCAGGGCCAAGTGGGATTTATCCTTGCTATGTGAGGATGTTTGGATCAATAATTGTGACACAAAGGATCAACAAATTGAAGAATTTAAGAACCATGTAATTATCTCGACACATTCAGAGAAAGAATTTGATGAAATATACATCCTTTTATGTTAAAAAGTTCAGCAAATTAGCTAAACAAAGAACAGTGCTCAACATGATAAGGAAATATATGATAAGTCCACAGCCATTATCAGAAGCAGTTCCACTAAGATATGGAATCAGGCAGGTTACTTGCTTTTACTATTACTATTCAATGTGGTCTAAAACTGTTCTAGAAGCTTTAGTCAGGACAATTAGCCAAGAAAAGTAAGTCAAAGTGATATAAAATTAGAAAAGAGAAATCAAATTATGAGATGCCATGATCCCATACACAGGGGAATCACAAAGCTCTATGAAGTGACTGTTGGGGCTATCAGAGATTTGCTAAAGTTTTAGGATATAAAATCAAAACACAACACTCTTTTAACTAATTTTTAACAAATTTAATGTGGTTTGTAGATACAGTTCCAAGAACATAGTGCTATTTATTTTTTCCTTCCCTGAAAAGAACAACGGTACTGTTCACAGTAGCTACAAAAATGTAAATAGCTTGAAATAAATTCAGCTCATTATGTGAAAGATCTGTACAAAGAAAATGACAAGGTGGGCCTGACACAGTAGCCTAGTGACTAAATCCTCACCTTTCACGCACAGAATCCCATATGGGTGTTGATTTGTGCTGGCTACTCCACTTCCTATCCTGCTCACTGATTGTGGCCTGGGAAGGCAGTAGAAGATGTCCCAAAGTCTTTGGCGCCTGCACCCATGATGGAGACCTGGAAGAAGTTCCAGGTTCCTGGCTTCAGATCAACTCAGCTCCAGCCATTGTGACCAGTTGGGGAGTGAATCAGTGGATGGAAGATCTTTTTCTCTGTCTCTCCTCCTCTGTATATATCTGATTTTCCAATAAAAATAAATAAATCTTTAAAAAATGAGAAGGCATTAAAGAAACAGAAGGCATATGGAAATGGAAGAATCTTCCATGTTTGTGGATTGGAAAAAATAGTTTCACCAGAATGTCCATACTACCCCAAGCAATTTACAGATTCAATGCAATCCCAGTCAAAATACCCAGGATATTCTGAGATCTAGAAAAATAATGCTTAGAATTAATATGAAGATCCCAGAGACCTCAGATAGCTAAAGCAACCCGAAACAACAAAATTGAAGCTGGAGGCATCACAACACCAGATTTCAAGGTACACTGCATGATAGTTATGATCAAAACAGGATGGTACTGGCATACACACACACACAGAGATAAGGAGACCAACAGAACAGAATACAAACCCAGACATTAATTGGACACTCATCTATAACCAACGGAACTGTGACAAATGAGCTAAAATAAATCCTTGGAGGAAGGACAGTCTATTTCACACAGAGACTTGAGAAATTGTGTGTGTGTGTGCCTATAGAATGATACAGCAGAAACCAACTGACAGTGGCTCGTGGTGCTTTTCCAGGCACAGTAACAGAGCGTTGGATTCGAAGTGGAGCATCTGGGCCTTGAATCGCTGCCCATATGGGATGTAGCATCACGGCTGGCATCTTTACTGGCTACGCTACAATACCATTGTGGACATGCGTTTTTTGAAAGATGAAATACAAATGGTCAGTTAACATGTGAGAAAATGCACAGGAGCACTAGCCATCAGGGTTATACAAATGAAAGCCACAATGTGGGTTCACCCCACCCCAGTGGAATGGCTATAATCTAAAAATCAAGCAGTGATAAATGCTGGCAAAGATGTAGAGAAAAGGTCTCCTAATACACATAGACTGCTACAACCATTATGGGAGACAGTGTGGGGATTCCTCAGAAATCTGAACATAGACCATCCACAGGACCCAGCCTTCCCACGCCAGGGAATTTACCCAGCGAACTGAAATAGGCAAATTGAGAGCGCGATCTGCAATCCCACACTTACTGCACCTCACTTCACAATGGGTAAGATGTGGAATCGGTCCAGACGTCCGTCATCTGATGGCTGGATAAATACAATGTGAGCTGCGCACGCTACTGAATACTACCAGCCACAAAAAATAATGAAACCTTTTCTTTTATGACAAAATTGGTGCAGCTGGACCCGCTTTGCCTCGTGAAATACGCCAATTGCAACAAGAGGAGCATTGTGTTTCCTCTTGTATGAACTGGTCGCCATCCTTTTCTCTCTCCAGCTCCTTTTCCAACTTGTTGGGCCCAGAGTGGTAAGCAACCAGTGCCTCTGAAGTCAGCTAGCTGTAGCTAGTCTTCTAGATGGGGCAGTTGTCCTGAGACGGACCTGTCTGAAATGAAACAGAGAATTCAGAGCAGTTGATTGAAGAATTTAACTGTGCCGATTGAATTATCACTTATCTGTATTCTTTTTTTTTTGAGGTTGACATTCAGGTTTTTTGCATTATTTGTTGAGAACACTACTCTTTCCTCCATTGAAAAAGGGTGGATATGCTACACAGAAGTCATTTGATCACAGTTGCTTGTATATATGCCTAATATCTCAATTTATTCTGGGTTTTTTTTTTTTTTTTTGGTGTTCATCCTTATTCTAGTACCTCCCTATTTTGATTAATGTGGTTTTTTTTGGTAAGTTTAGATTAATTGGCTGCTTATTGTTCTTTTTATTTCCACATGAATTATAAGATTTGCCTTTAAGTGAGAAAAAGTCATTGAATTTTGATAGGGACTGAAATGAATTTTAGACAGCTGTAAGAGTTTTGCCATATTAATGCTCTTTTTGCAAGAGGTGTCTTCCCATTTTCTAATTTCTTTGTCATAATTTGTAGTTTTCTATGTAGAAGTCTTTTGTGTCCTTCATTAAGTGTATTTGGACTCTGCATAGTAGCCTAGCAGCTAAAGTCCTCGCCTTCCATGCACCTAGACCCCACGCAGGTGCCAGTTCTAATGCCGGCTCCCTGCTTGTGGCCTGGGAAAGCAGTGCAGCACGGCCCAAAGCCTGCTAAGTGTTCAAACTCTTTTTGTATGTGTGAGATCTGATTATCCCAGCACAGAGGTTATTTTGCTTTGACTTTTTCTTGCCTAATTGGTCTGGTTATACCTTCCAATATTTATTGAATTCCAGTGCCGAAAGTGCTCATCCTTATGTGGTTCCTGACGCTCGCACAATTTTCAATGTTTTGTTACTGACTACAATGTTTTTTTTTTAATAACCTTCCTTTGTGTTTCCTTTTTAAAAATCCCATTCTATTTCTCATTTTATGGATATTTTTACTTTGAAATGGTTTTGGTTTTGACAGAGGCTACTGTTTCTGGATCAACTGAAATGATCATATACTGTGCACACAGACTGCTTAAGAAAACAAACACCTTTTAATTTCTGTATGGATTATTTTATAAGCTGCTTTTTGCACTTCGACCATGTCTTTTCGTTGAGAGCCATTAAAATTATGATTTACAATAACTAGATGTTATTTACTTATTTGAATGTTCCATAAGTTATTAAATATTGCTATGTTGTTTCAAACATTGTCTTCTCTGTTTATTCAGAAATAAAATTTTTAGAACTAGAATTATTCAGCTGAAAACTATAAACACTTTCAAGCTACCACATACACACACTCCAACTAATTTTTAAATAAAGATAGATTTATTTATTTGAGAGAGAGAGACAGGCAGACAGATTTTCCATCTACCGGCCCTTTGCCCACGTGGCTGCAGCAGCCAGCTGAAGGCAGGACGGTTGTCCACTGTTCACAGCTGCCGGTCAGGTTAGCTCGTGGCTATAGGCTGCAATTCCAGGAAGATAGGCGTCAGCTGAAGTTCTTTAAGCTTTATTGCTCACACTTGTCCCTACTTGCAATATTTATCTATCTAATTCTTCCTGTCCCTCACTCTATCCACTGTGTTCTTGGTGTTTAACTGGCATTTAGAATTAATAATTATGCCAACAGAACAAAATGCAGGAAATATTCAAAACTTACTGCTAACGCCATTGATAATGCACAAATGCACATTTGTCCACGTGTTTTTAGGGCGCACTTTATCAATATTCAGTTTGCATGTTCCCGCATGCCTGTTTTTAGGATTATCAGCATATAAGGAAACACTGGGGAAAGGTGAATTACATGTAACAGGTAAAAACACTTTAAAAGACTCAAAGAAAAGCATTGCAGAGTTTCTTCATTTTGTTAATTGGATTTTAAAATGACTTCTCTGTTAAGGTCATGTTATACATCGAGCAGAAAAGACTCTCTGTTTAAATACACACCCACATGCATATCTGGCATCACCAGAAACACTAACTTTTAAGCCTGATACTATTCCGAAAATAAGCAGGGAAAACACGCCCAAGGCCCGCCCACTCAGGGTCTGGGAGGAAAACTACGAATCCCGAGAGCGCGGAGCGAACACGAGCGGCACGGCCTCGAAGCTCGTGCCTCAGGCCCGCCTCCTCCATGCTGTGATTGGATCCCTCACTTCCGTGATCTGCAATTCTGCTGCTTCATTGGTGGCGTCTCCACTTCCGTGTCTGCACCTCTCCTCTTCTATTGGTGGAGACTCCGGGGGGTGGTCAAATGTAAGCCTGACGTTCCCGAGCTCCTTGAGCCCTGTGGGCCGCCCCGTACCAAGATGGCGGCGGAGGCGGCTGCCGGCAAGTACAGGAGCACTGTCAGCAAAAGCAAAGACCCGTCGGGGCTGCTCATCTCCGTGATCAGGTGAGACAGGTCGGTGGCAGGCCGGAGGCAGGGTCAGGGCTCGGGGGCCGCGGCAGCCGCCCGCTGCCCGCCTGGGGGAGAAGGCCCGGCCGGGTCCCGCCCCGCCAGCCTCCCTCAGGACTCCTCCCAGGCCGGCTCGGCCCACCTTCCCCGCGTGGCTTGGGGCCCAGGGAGCGCCCCGCCTCGCGGCCTCCCGCTTAGGGGCACGCCTCCGTGTGAGGGTCCCGGCGGGAGGGAGGCGGCCTCTGGCAGGCCGGGGGTGCGCCCGGGCTCCTGGAGCGCCGGGTCGGGGGGCCCCGCAGCCGGTGGCAGGCGGCCCAGGCCCGGGCTGTCCGCTGTGGGGTCCCTGTGCCGTGGAAGGCACGCGCTGGCTGTGACTCTGCTTGGCCCTCTCCCGCCGACACATTTCAGGTTGTCCTCTTGGCCGTCTCCGGCCCAATCCCGGGGCACTGGGTGCAAGTTGAGTGGTGAACCTTAAAAAATGAGAGAACTGTATTATGACACATTTAAAAACCAATGCTGTTGGCACTTTAATTCCATTACAGGTGTTGCTTATTAAGGCAACACCTGCCACCTGGGTCTCCCACTTCTGCTAAAACTTTGAGTTCTTGAGGGCTCCCGAATGCTTCTCTCTTTCTGATTTGTAAAGCCAGTGCTTTCTTGGTACCAGTCACTGGGAATGCGTGAAGCCATCAGGGTCTCAAAGCCACTTTCCACTCATGGACTCATACTGACCCGTCCCATGGGTCTGAGGGGACCGTGGATTACGACATGCCCTGTGAAATCATTATTAGCTCCTAGGACTAAGGGGAGACTTCTGTGTGGCAGGACTTGCGGTCTGACTGATGTCTTACGGAGGGAAGATTGTTTTGGGTGCACAGGCCCATGCTGGTGCAGTAACACCACACAGGTGGTGTCCTGGATGTCATGGTCGCAGAGCAACAAACAGCTTTGTGGATTCCAGATAACCCCGGGGGGTTATAATGCATGCCTTTATCTTTTGGGGCACTTATTTTTCTGCCTCAGAGGCACTATCCACTTGAATTGGACATGAGGTAACCTTGAGAAAAGTATAGTCTTGGGAAGTGAAATGTGTGTCAAATAGGAGGTAAAACTAGGGGAGAGGGACATGTAATGTGAGGGGCATTGTGGAGTAGTTCCGGCCAGAGCCATAGAGCTGACCTTGAGGAATGGAGCAGCCTGTGCAGGTGCCTCCTCTGCGTCCCGTGCCTGTATGTGGCGTCTTCGGGGTGTAGCGTTCCCTTTATGCTGTGACATGCCAGTTTTCTTCAGTTTGCTCCAGATCCCCTTATTCCAAGACGGTGTGAAAAGCAGCCCAGAGCGCTCCTACTGGCGCCTTGCTTGGCCAGTCCTGTTCTGGGGAAGCTCTTTCTGGTGGTGTGCAGCATGGCTGGTTGGCCACCTGTCCCAAGCTGGTCTGTGTTCCTTCTGTTTGTCACCACGATGTGACCCTGGTGGTGTTAACTTCCACTGTGTTGTGCTGCTTCCTCAGCCTTGACCCGCACACCACTTGAGACTAATGTTTATTATGCTTGTTTTAAGCCTGATGTGAGAGTGCTCAGACTTAGCTTCTTGGCCAGGTTCAGGAAGGGTCGGTTCATGGTTACAGGACCCTAATGCTCGAATGCTCGGTGTTGATGCTGGGGGTTGGTTTCGTCTTTGAGTCACAAGTAGATTTGGGGAGAGGAGTTGCTGATTTGCTATCCCCGCTCTTGCTGGTATGCTTTTGAACACACCTAGAGGTTTGAATTTCCTGCAGGTGCGGTGCATGAGGCAAGGGTGGTGGTACTTGCCAGCTCAGCTGTTTGGGGTTGGGAATGAGTGGGGGAGATAGCATGGGGAATGTCTATTTCCTGTTAATAACCTGCGATCCCTCTGAATTGCTTTGTGTAGTTGTCCATTTTGTTGCCTTTTGTTTCCATTCTTGCAACATTGTATTCACTTTTCTTAATTCAGCATAGGCGCTTCACTTTTCTTTTCCTTGTCTGACCCTTGCTTTTCAAAATCTCCAAAATATTGTAACTTTTTGGGTTGTTTGGCAAGAAGCCACAAACTAGAAAACACACTTTAGGCACCTGGTGATCAACTAACTCTTTCAGAAGATGTGATACAAGTCAGTTTTGTTTTGTGTTTCCATGGACCTGTAATCTTGTCAAAATCTGTCTTTTGGAAAGTGTTTCCATGGACCTGTCATCTTGTCAAAATCTGTCTTTTGGAGAGTGTGTTCAGTTTAGCTTTATTTTGTAATTATTTATTTGGGAGGCAGAGAGTTGGTAGTCTCCATCTGCTGGCTGCCTAGATGGGCACAAGCTGAAAGTTTGCCATGGAATGTGGTAGAGACTAGAAGTCCTTGGGCCGTCTTCTGCCCTCCCAGGATGTCATCAGGGAACAGGCACTGGCTATGGGTTGCTGGCATCGAAATCTGTAGCTTAAGCAACAGCACCGCAGCATTGGCCCCTTAATTTATCTTCTATCACTAATCATCTTTTTTTTATTGAATAATAAATATGGAAATTCTTCATCAGTTGTCTTGCTTGCACTGGTGAAGGTCTTGGTAAAGGTCTTTTCTATGCTGTGTGTGCATGGGCACTTCATAAAGGTTTCGGAACAGTGGCCCACACCAGAGTGCATGGGTTCTAGTCCGTCCTTCGTGCTGCCCTCACCCTGGGAAGCAGTGGGCGGAGACTCGGGTACCTGGGTACCGGATGGGCTCCTGGCTCCTGACTTCAGCCTGGCCCAATTCTGGCTGTTGCAGGCATTTAGGGAGTGAAGCAGCAGAAGGAAGAGCCTCTCTCTTTCAAAAAAGTAATAAATAAAAAAATTAGGGCCCAGCGGCATGCCCTAGTGGCTAAAGTCCATGCCTTGAATGCCCCGGGATCCCATATGGGCGCCGATTCTAATCCAAGCAGCTCCACTTCCCATCCAGCTCCCTGCTTGTGGCCTGGGAAAGCAGTCGAGGATGGCCCAAAGCCTTGGGACCCTGCACCCATGTGGGAGACCCGGAAGAAGTTCCTGGATCCTAGCTTAGCATTGACCGTTGCGCTCACTTGGGGAGTGAATCATTGGATGGAAGATCTTCCTCTCTGTCTCTCCTTCTCTCTGCATATCTGACTTTCCAATAAATAAATACATCTTTAAAAAAAATAAAAAAAAATTAAAGTCTATGGAAAAATGGAAACAAAAGCTAAGTTTATTTTGGTGAAAAAAAAAAAACCCTTTGTAATCCATGCATAGTTTTTTCATGTTTAAAAAAATAACCTATGATCTTTAAATTTTTTTTTTTTGTTTTTGAAAGATTTATTTATTTTATTGGAAAGTCAGAGAGGAGAGAAAGATCTTCCATGCACTGGTTTACTCCCAAAGTCATTGCAACGGCTGGAGCTGAGCTGATCTGAAGCCAGGAATTTCTGGGTCTCCCATTTGGGTGCAGGGTCCCAAGGCTTTGGGCCGTCCTGGATTGCTTTCTTGGGCCACAAGCAGGGAGCTGGATGGGAAGTGGGGCCGCCAGAACAGGAACTGATGCGCATATGGGATCCCGGGTGCATTTAAGGTGAGGACGTTAGTCAATAGGCTGTCACGCCGTGCCCACCTCTGACCTTTTTGAAAATCTTACATATGCCTGAGTTTCCATATTTCTTGCACTAAAATAAACCTGTGTTTCAGTTCCACTTTGTCACCCTCTTGTATTTTCTTAATGTTTTATATTGTTTTTTTAAAATATTGTACCTAGTGGTTGGAGCAGAGTTTATTGTTACAGTCACATTGATGACTGGATTAGGAGCAGAGTGACGTGTGATCTAGCACCGTGTCTTGCTAACCTGGCGAGACTGTCTTTGAGCACTTCTGCCTTGTGGGTGGTGCGGCTTTCCCTGGCTGGGCAGAAGGCTGCTCTCTTCCTGCTCTGTGTGAGTTGACATGGTCACTGCCTCTGCTCCGTCGACGTGGGTATTTTTTCCTGGCCCTTGATAGTTACCTGTTGCGTACATGCAGATGAGTATGGGCTCAAGGAAGCCCTACTACCCAGGGTGCTAAAAACAGGCTTGCTGTGAGGGACTCCATGTTGAGCTGGCCTCCATCTTAGGTGACCTATAACCCTGCTGAGAAATTGCATCCTGCTTGGCAAGAGTACTTCAATTCCTGGCTAGGCTGTTCAAGCAAAGCTAAGAGAAAATGAGTTTTATCTGGTAGTTAGCAGTGGTTTTATTCCAGAGCAGTTCCTTATTAGCTCAGTCCTCCCGAACCCCTCCAGGTGTGCGTTTTTTGCCCTTGTACACCCTGCTGTTCTGTAGTTGGGGGTCGAAAGGTCTTCAGAGCATGAGCCCCTCCTCATCACTGGCAATAAAGGACTTTCACAAAAAAATTTCAGATACACAGAGACTAAGAGAAAGATCTTCTGTCTGCTGATTCACTCCCCAAGTGGCCACAATGGCCAGAGCTGAGTCAGTCCAAAGCCAGGAGCCAGGAGCTTCTTCTTGGTCTCCCACGCTACTCTCCCAGGCCACAAGCAGGGAGCTGCATGGGACTTTCAGATTTTAATCAGTATGTGGCACGCTCCTGTATTGGCAGGCTTGGTTACAGCAATTGCTTTGTGGACTAACTTGTGGGGAGATGGGTTCCCCAGCTGAATTTGTTTCACGCTCCTAGGAACTGAGTTCAGAGCAGAGATGCAGGTAACCAGCAGGAATGGGAGCCGGTTTATTGCAAACATTTGAAAGTTAATGAGCACAGTTCCCTGGGGAGAGCTGTGCACACTCCGGTTTGGCCGCCCCCTTGACTGGGTAGAGTGATGCCCTCTATATACCAGTGCAGGGTTGGGTGGGATTCAGTGTTAGTGATGAGCTCTGGCAGGTTTTACTGCATCTGCACATGGAGATCAATGTGCATGTGTTCATCATGGAGGAGGCCCAGATGTGCTAAAGTGGCTGTGCTGTACTGGCATGGAAAGGTGTGGATTTTTCTTAGCAGTGCCAGGCTTTGGT